ACTATAACCACAAGGAAAAGCTGGATAGCCTACAACATCAAAATTTTTCTTGAATCTAACAGAGAGAAGACATAGGACAATAAACTAGCCTGATATTTAAAGAAAGGTGGATGCTTCCAACAAGATAGGCAATTCGAGAGCTATTTACCTGAGGCAGAGCCCCTGGGAAAGACAAGGCCATTTCAGAAGGGATAAGAAGATTGCAAGTAAAATTTTATGATGATTCCATAGTTTCATTTTAACAATTTGCTGCTGTGGCAGAGTCTGAGCTTCTGCCATATGGAAGCTACAGATGCAAGGGGAATTTACACCCCTTCACAAGCTTTTCTTTACAAATCTCATAGAATGTTCCCAAGAAAGATCCAGGTCAGAGAAGGCAGCAGAGGAAGACTCCTGTGGTCACACAAACCAGCCAGAGAGGAACAAAGACCTAATGAACAAAAGGCACTGTGGGTGGGGAGGGAGTCAGAGCTGCAAACCCTTTGAGGCTAGGGAAAGGGGGACAAAGAAATCCTTCTCTCCTGAGGAAGAGACTGGAAGCTTTCTCCCTCACAAGAACCAGCAAGACCTGAGGTGAACATCTGCCCTGGGGAGGAGGGCATAGTCACTGAGTAGGTTCTGGCCCCAATATCCAAGAACATAGGTCCTGCCTGATACTGAGGCTGAACCAAGAAAGCAGAAAGCCTCTTCCCCAAGCAGGCTAGCAAACGCTAGCAAGAGTCTGCACTGGGGAAGGTGCGAGAGTGGCAAGACACTCTCTTGGGCTCAGATCCATAAGGAAAGCTGGAAGCCTACTTCCACCATAAGCAAAGTGACACTAATTGCCAAAAACTGATGACAACTGGTGAGTGGACAAACTGTAATAAACTGATATCATGGAATATTACAGCAATAAAAAGGACCAAACTGTTAGCCTTTACAATATCATGGCTAGATCTCAAAGGCTCAGTGAAAAAAAGACAGACTCAAAAGAGCACATGTCATACTATTTGGTTATATTTATATGCTATTCTAGAATAGGCAGAACAATAGGGACAGAGATCAATAGTTGCCAAAGGCTGAAGGTGGGTGAACTGTCAACTTCAAAGAGGCATGAAGGACTGTTGAAAGTGATAAAACAGTTCTATATCCTGACTGCGGGGGTGGTTACATGTCTAGCATTTGTCGAAACTCATAGAGCTATACAATAAAAAGGGTGAATTTGTGTGATAGTCACTCAGTTGTGTCCAACTCTGCAACCCCATGGACTGTAGTCTGCCAGGCTCCTCTGTCCATGGGAATTCTCCAGGCAAGAATACTTGAGTGGGTTGCCATTTCCTCCTCAACATAGGGATCAAACCCAGGTCTCCCACATTGTGGGCAGATTCTTTACTGTCTGAGACCCCTGGAAAGCCCCCCAAAAAGATGATTTTAACCACATATAAATTACATCTCCAAGATATTTAAAATTAAAAGAAAACAATTTCATTGCAATTAAATTGTTCATCAAAAAACAACATTAAGAGTGTGAAGAGACAAGTTACAGATTGGGAGGAAAAATGGAATTTGCCTATAGAACATATAAAGAACATACAAATGAGTAAGAAAAAGAGCAGACAATGGAATAGAAAAATGGGCAAAGGACCTAAGTGGCTGTTTCACAAAAGAGGATATTCAAATTGCCAATATGCATAAGAAAAGCTGCTCAATATCTTTATTCTAAACGCAAATGAAAATCATAATGAAGTGCCACTACACATTCATCAGACTAGCTGAAGTTAAAGATTTGGCAATATCAATGTTGGTGAGAACGTGGATTAACTGAAACTGGTTGTAAATTTTTATAACCACTTTGGAAAACTATTTGGAAGTATTTAACATGAGCCTTATGATTCAGCAATTCCACTCTGAGGTTACTCCAAGAGTTACAAGGGCCTATGACCACCATAAGTCAAGATCAAGGATATTCATAGCACCATTATCATAATATGAAAAGCTGGAAGCAACTCAAATGTCCACCAACAGGAGAAAATAGAAATAAACTGTGGTATATGTATATGCACAAAATACTACCCAGATGATTATGACATGCAACAAGGATGGATACGTGAAAGATATGATGCATGAAAGAAGGATCAAAGAGTATATACTGTATGATTTGACTCATATGAAATTCACCAATAAGCAAAACTAATCTTGAATGATTAGATGAATTCAAAATAGTAGTCATGGATGGGGCTAGTATATATTGGGGTCTTCCCTGTAGCTCAGGTGGGAAAGAATCTGCCTGCAATTCAGGAGACCCTGGTGTGATTTCTGGGTCAGGAAGATCCCCGGAGAAGGGATGGCTACCCACTCCAGTATTCTTAAGCTTCCCTTGTGGCTCAGATGTAAAGAATCTGCCTGCAATGAGGGAGACCTGGGTTCGATCCCTGGGGTTGGGAAGATACCCTGGAGTAGGGCATGGCAATGGCAATCCTCTCCAGTGTTCTTGCCTGGAGAAACCTCATGGACAGAGGAGTCTGGCGGGCTACAGTCCACAAGGTCACAAGGAGTCGGACATGACTGAGCGACTAAGCACAGTATATACTGAGAAGAGATGTGAGGGAGCATTCTGAGCCCTTCTGTATCTTGACCTCAGTGGTATTTCTATGGGCAGCATACATTTGTAAAGCTTTATTCAATAGTACATTTATGTTCTATGTACTCTACTGCATGTATGTTTTCCTCAATGTAATACAAAAACAGAAAATATCCCCTTCAGCACATCCTAAGGTCTAATGATAATGTGTGCAAAATGAGTGTAAACAGACTAGGAGTATATAAGGATTTGTCAAGACCCCTGACCATCCCTCCTCTCTTTTATTCTTTCATAATCACTGAGTATTTCTCATTAGCCACAGATGGAGATGAAACATCCATTAGCTCTGTAGCCCATGGTAGATTGGGCTTTGTGTGTGCGTGTTTGTTAGTCATATCCTACTCTTTGTGATTACATGAGCTGTAGCCCACCAGGTTCCTATGTCCATGGGGTTTCCCAGGCAAGAATACTGGAGTGGGTAGCCATTCTCTTCTCCAGGGGATCTTCCTGACCCAGGGATCAAACCTGGGTCTTCCAAATCACAGGCAGATTCTTTACCATCTGAGCCACCTTGGAAACTTCATGTAATTTCTATTGCTTTTAGGTCCTAAGCTTATGCAATGTCAAAAGAAATATCTTTTTGTTTAAAATACTGCAGAGGAGGAAATTTTCCTCTAATGTTTTCAAACAGAGACATTTATTTGCTTGTTTTTTGATTTATTTATTTGTGGCTGTGCTGGGTCTTTGTTGCTGTGAGGGCTTTTCTCTGGTTGTGGGAGCAAGGACTACTCTCTAGTCGCCATGCATGGGGCTCATTGTGGTGGCTTCTCTTGTGGTGAAGCATAGGCTCTAGGCTAAAGGCTTCAGTAGTTGCAGCACACAGACTCATTAGTTGTACCTCCAGGGCCCTAGAGCTTCCAGACTTCCCAAGTTGTATAAAGTCAGTAGTTGTGGTGCATGAGCTTAGTTGCTCTGAGGCATGTGGAATCTTCCCGGACCAGGAATTGAAGTCGTGTCCCCTGCATTGGCAGGCAGATTCTTAGCCACTGGACCACCAGGGAAGTCCAAGACATTTGTTTTTATATGCTATTAATTGCTATAATGTAACATCTACCAGCTTGTTTTTTCTTTCAAGCGAATAAAATGTTGCCACATCCTCCTACTGTGTCACTTATCAATAAATTAAGATCTGTGCACTTTACTGTGTGTATGCTGTACCTCAATACAGTTGTGTGTGTGTCGCATGTACCTTTATTTCTCAAGTACAAACAAGCAGTTGGCAGTATACTGCAGTTACAGAAATAAGTTTCAGAGAACTGCCTAAGGTCACTAACTCCCGGTTCAACAGTTTCATGGGTAATAGTATTCTCAGAAATTCTGTGAGGTCCAAACAGTCTCCTGCCCAGGGACTTCATCAGTGAAGGATTAGTCAACTCCTCGTCCTGTCTCAGCTCCTCCAGTCTGTATGGGTCAGGCCATTCTACTCTTTAAGTATAAGGGGGATGGGCACATCACAACTCCCAAGCACCCTGCAGAGTAGGCAGGTCACCTTAGGGGCAGCCTTTACCCACACAAAAATTCATCTCGCATTAGTTGTGAGGATTCAGTGTCACCCCCAATCATAATTTTCCTTACTCAGGAGTTTAAAACATGATACAACTTATGTTTGACAGCCCTTCCAACACTCCTAGAGAGGCCAAATCCACCTGGGGCCTCTGGGACTCCTGCACCCATGATCCATCGGAGGGGCACAGTTACTACCAACATGGCAGCCACTCTTGTTTGCAGTTCCGCCATTAAGGCCGTTTCTCTGTACTTCCCGATTTTGTGCTGTTTGTGCCCTGCGAGCCTCAGACACCAGTCCCCAAGACTCCACTACAAGGATTATCCACTCAACTCCCCAAGCCGTCCTGGAGGTTCCTCACTGGGTCTGGGCAGGAGGAAAACCCAAACTGCTTCCCATCTCACTTTGTTGAGAGCTCACACAGCCCATCAAGCTCTCCCCAACGTATCTCTTCATAAATCCTCCCTCCTCTTCGTAACTGGATCCTTTTTTTAAAAAAAATCATCTTTAATATGAATGAGAGGTTCATGAGTCTGAATAAGTATCAGACATTTACCCTATAATTACACTGCATTTTCATCCCGCACCTCATGCTGATATACAGCATTCGTGGTTGGTATTGGATATCCACAATATCCACAAAACTTCAATACTCACCTCCTGTTACAGTAACTTCAGGTTGAACTGTATGAAATTGTTGATTGTTCACAATGTTTTGATTTAAAGGAATTGCAATTTCATATAGTTCAAACTAACAATTTTATTCAAAATATGCTTTTTAGAGAAATTTTAGGTTGGAATTGAACAAACAGGAAAAGTGAATTCTGAACTGAATACTCAGGCAAATACTGAAGCATCATCTGCAAAGCGTCTCACCTTGGCTTTCAGATCAGCACACACTTCCTGTTGCTTTTTCCTGTCCTTAGCCAACATGCTTTCCATTTCATGAGTTGCACAGGCTTCAGCCAGTGTCAGCACAGCCTTCTGTATAAAGTCTCTCCTATTCTTATTCCAACTTAATATCAGGATTCTTCGCTGCTCCTTAGCAAAGCGATATTGGTCACAATATTTCTCATGTTCGACCTGAAAAGACAATAGATGATAAATGCTTATTATGAAACTGAACTTATGTGTTCTGTCATTGCTAGAAAAGTGAATAGAATGAATTAATCAATGATTTTGAAAAATGAGGATCGAATATCTTAATAGTAAATACAACAATCAGGACCAGGTACCAGTCCCAGATTTTTGGGTCCATGGCTAATTGGTGACTGAGGACCAGTCATTTACTCTTCTTAAGTTCTCATACAGGCTGGAGTCAGGCCAGGTGGCCCTAGAACAACTTCTACTTCTATATGAGAATGGATCTATGAGCAGAAAACATGATTTCCCCTGCATTTAATTTTTAAAATACTCTACCTTTAAGTCAGTTTTGCTATATTAATAACAACTTCAGGTGCTTTGGTTAGACATGTGCTAATAAACATTGAAAATCGCTGCAATAATCCTAAAAACTCAGTTTGCCATTGATTAGGGAAACGATCAGATATTAGAACATCTAAACTTAAAATAATTATAGCATTGACTGTAGCTCTTCCCATCCCATGCTCTTGAAAGGCATGCCATTCTTACATGGGTATCAACAGTTCCTGCTGCCAGTGAACACCAACCCTGGGAGATCTGAGTCTTAAAGAAGAGGAAGAGAGAGAGCCTGAGCAGTTTGAAAAACCTCTGTAGGTGATTCTCAAATACTCCTTATAGAAAGGTGTGTGTGTGTGTCTGTGAGAGCGCAGTTGCTCAGTCATGTCCAACTCTTTGTGACCCCATGGGCTGTAACCTGCCAGGCTCCCCCGTCCATGAGGCAAGAATACTGCAGTGGGTTGCGATTCCCTTATCCAGGGGTTCTTCCTGACCCAGGGATTGAACCCATGTGTCTTGTATCTCCTGTATTGGCAGGCAGATTCTTTACCACTAGTGCCACCTGGGATGCCCCTATATAAAGGCATGTCACCTGAAATTAAGAGTTGATGACCTAAATAATTCTTCATTTTGCCAGTATAGACCCACATCTCTGAATTTAATATATTATTTAACCTCTAAGTGATGTGAGAAAAGAACCTAGCTGACAAGATAAGGTGGCTCCTACCTAAAAATATATATATATAATTTGCTACTGTTAAATCACGTCAGTTGTGTCCGACTCTTTGCGACCCCATAGACAGCAGCCCACCAGGCTCCCATCCCTGGGATTCCCCAGGCAAGAACTCTGGAGTGGGTTGCCATTTCCTTCTCCAGTGCATGAAAGTGAAAAGTGAAAGTGAAGTCGCCCAGTCGTGTCCTACTCTTCGCGACCCCATGGACTGTAGCCTACCAGGCTCCTCCATCCATGGGATTTCCCAGGCAAGAGTACTGGAGTGGGTTGCTATTGCCTTCTCCATATATAATTTAGGTATAGTTAATTAAGTACATGATGGTATGATCAGTCACCTTAGAGCCAGACATCCTGGAATGTGAAGTCAAGTGGGCCTTAGGAAGCATCACTACGAACAAAGCTAGTAGAGGTGATGGAATTCCAGTTGAGCTATTTCAAATCTTAAAAGATGCTGTGAAAGTGCTTCATTCAACATGCCAGCAAATTTGGAAAACTCAGCAGTGGCCACAGGNCAGCCAACTATGGAAGCCTCAAAGTACAACAAACTCCAATTTAAGGCATTAATGTTTATATACTGTGAGGATACACTTTTCTGTAAGACAGAATATCTCATATCTCATGTGATTTGTGAGAAAAATTCTGTTAAGACTCACTCTGTTTGAGAATAACCACACCAATGTATGGATTTTTTTTTTTTTTTTTCCTAGTCAATCTGTATACTTTCTAACAATGTGACCCAAATCTCAGAAAAGAATGAAAGGGAGGGAGGAAGGATGGGGGAAAGGAAGGGCAAGAGGGAGGAAAGGATGGAGAGAAACAGAGGCAGGGAGGATTTGTTTTTTTTTTTTTTAAAGCAAAAAACAATTCAGATTTCTAAATGAAAGCAAAATTTCTATACTCATAGTACAGCAAAATTAGTCACAAGATTAAATCCATGGTCTCTAAGCATCAGAAGTCCTTTACTTATTACTCTATTATGGCATCACTGATTCAATGGACATGAGTTTGAGTAAACTCCGGGAGTTGGTGATGGACAGGGAAGCCTGGCGTACTGCGGTTCATGGGGTCGCAAAGAGTTGGACATGACTGAGTGACTGAACTGAACAAATTAAGTACATAATGAAACAGGCTATGGCTTCACTTAAATGTCAGCTACTAAAGTCCATTCTATAAAGTTCTTAGCTTTAGTTCTCAAGGCCAAGACTATGCTTAAAACTTGTCAAACACTAAGAAAGGAAGTACACACCATACAGAAATGCATACTAATTATCCCAATGTAAGAAGTAAATGCAAAAATCTTTATCGTATTAACAGAAGGCAAATATAAAAATCTACACACAGTTAAAAACAACAGCTGGTCACAGATACAAATGCAATCAATAAGGAATAAAATGAAAGATCCAATTTAATAAATTAAGATGTGTATAAAATCTAGAATGAATTATTAATATTATACAACATTTTTTTACATAACAAGAATTTGCAATAAAATAAAGGTCAGAATTAAAACAAATAACTGGATGGGGATTGATGGGACAGGAGAGGTCGGTCATACTAGTTGTGTTGCCTTTGCTTCAGTTTCTTCACCTTAAAATTATGGATAATTATAGTTCTTCTCTCATCCATTATTATGTGCACTACAGGAGTTTACACATGACTGACATAAAATAAATTCTATACACGTTAATATTGTTTTTTTAATTTATTTATTTTTTATTGAAGAATAATTGCTTTATAGAATTTTTCTGTTTTCTGTCAAACCTCAAGATGAATCAGCCATAGGTATACATATATCCCCTCCCTGTTGAAACTCCCTCCTATCTCCCTCCCTTAAGTATTGTTACTTGATTTAAAACAATTACAAAAACACAGAGTATGTAATAACATTATATGGCATGGCCTATAATATTTAAAAGATAACAGTCCATACATGTTTGTTTACATATATGTTTTAAAGTGAGTTACTGTGAAATTCATTGGTGACATGGTAACTTCTGTGTCCTAGTCTCTGTGGTCTTGTCCAGTAAAGGATGCAACCATAGCTCCCCAGGCCTGTCTCAGGGAAACTGCAGACAAGGCTCTGATTTATGAATTTGGGTCATTTGTGTTCAGACCCGTCTAGGGGATCAAGTGGAGCTGTGGTGGGGATGGAAGCCAAACAGAAGCAGAGCCGCCCAGAGGACCATGGTGAAGCTCTCTGGGGCAAGGAAGCCACAGAAGAATAAATGTTGCCAGAGGGGTCTCCCATCTTTTTATGCAGCATGTTGTTGTTCAGTTCCTAAGTCATATCCTACTCTGTGACCCCACAGACTGCAGCACACCAGGCTTCCCTGCCCTGTCCTTCACTATGTCCCTGAGCTTGCTCAAACTCAGGTCCATTGAGTCAGCGATGCCATCCAACCACAATGCAAAAGCATCAATTTCTTTGGCACTCAGCCTCCTTTAAGGTCCAAACCTCACATCCATACATGACTACTGGAAAAACAATAGCTTTAACTAGATGGGATTTTGTCAGCAAAGTGATGTCTCTGCTTTTTAATACGTTGTCTAGGTTTGTCATAGCTTTCAAGGAGCAAGCGTCTTTTAATTTTGTGGCTGCAGTCATCGTCCACAGTGATTTTAGACACCAAGAAAATAAAATATGTCACTGTCTCCATTTTTTCCCATATATTTGCCATGAAGTGATGGGACTGGATGCCATGATCTTAGTTTTTTTTTGAATGTTGAGTTTTAAGTCATCTTTTTTACTCTCCTGTTTCACGCTCATCAAGAGGTTCTTTAGTTCCTCTTCAATTTCTGCCATTAAGATAGTATCATCTGCATATCTGAGGCTGTTGATATTTCTCCCAGCAGTCTTGATTCATCCAGTCCAGCATTTCACATGATGTACTCTGCATAGAAGTTAAATAAGCAGAGAGACAATATACAGTCTTGATGTACTCCTTTCCGAATTTTGAACTAATCTGTTGTTTCATGTCCAGTTCTAACTGTTGCTTTTTGACCAGCATACAGGTTTCTCAGGAGGCAGGTAAGGTGGTCTGGTATTTCCATTTCTTTAAGAATTTTCCAGAGTTTGTTGTGATCCGCAGTGAAAGGCTTTAGCATAGTTATGCACCATACTGTCTTGTAAAATGACAGACTTCATACTATAATCCTATTATTTTCTAGAGTGTAGGAAAAAAATAATTTTAGAGCACCATTTAAAGTATATATATGTATTTATAAATATATATACCTGCTGCTCTGCGACAACCTAGAGGGGTGGTTTGGGGTGGGAGGTGGGTAGGAGGATCAAGAGGGAGGGAACATATGTGTATACCCATAGCTGATATTGCAAAAACCAACATAAGATTGTAAAGCAATTATCCTCCAATTAAAAATAACTTTTAAAAATATGTGTGTGTGTGTGTGTGTGTGTATGTGTATGGTGGCAATTTAGTTGTTAAGTCATGTCCAATTAATGCGACCCTATGGACTGTCGCCTGCCAGGCTCCTCTGTCCATGGCATTTCCCAGGCAAGAATACTGAAGTGGTTTGCCATTTCCTTCTGCAGGGGATCTTCCTGACCCAGGGATCAAACTCACATCTCCCACATGGCAGACTGGTCTCTTGCATTGCAGGGGATTCTCAGTTATTGCTGAGCTACCAGGGAAGGTGTGTGTGTGTGTGTACATGTGTGTGTGTGTGTGTGTGTAGTTTAGTAATTATTGACCACCAAAACAATTTAACTTGGCAGCACATAAGGTTCAGCACTCACCAAATCATGCCTTGATTTGTGTGGAAGATATCTTTGTAACATGTCCAGATACAAAGTCCTTCTGCCACAGAGATTCCCAGGATACTGATCCAAAACAGCCTGGTAAATCCAGTGGTCTTCATCACTTAACTGGAAGTTTCTGGAAGCAACAAAAATGTCACATGATATTATGATTATTGAGTAATCAAAGGAGATTGAAGGACCTCACACTGTTTAAGCTGTTAGAAAACGACAATGATTACATAAAATGAAGTCTGTAAAAAAATACACCAGCCAAATAAAATGTCTGCTCTATAAAAGGCTCTAAATTCTAACACAATGGTTTCTTTCAATTCATTATTTCATGTTGTCATGAGTTCCAGGCTTAATTTGAAGAGGCTTGACAATGAGACATCATATTTTTAAGATATTCTATCTTTCCTATAACAATATTTTAAAAATCATGACAATGAATGAAATAAACAAACACTGGGAAATAAATTATTAAGCATATAGATTAAAAAGGAATTTTGCTAATTCAACAAAATTCCTATTTCTAGACTGGAGGAAATACAAATGTAGACAAATAAACAATTACATAAAGGAAACTAAGGCCTGAGGAAGGAACATATTAAGATTTGATATTAAAAGAGAGTCTAAAATTATCTTTTACTTTATCCCCTTAACTTCCTACATTGTGGCACTATGACTAAATGTTGGTAGTAAAAAGATACCCAATGGCATTAGATTTCAAAGTGATAAAGAAATCATTTTTCATAGGATCCCCATAAGTCACCTTCCCATTAACATGGCCACCATGCTCCAAAATACCTTTTTTAATTCAGAACTTTCCTAGGCTTTGTGTTCTACAGGAAGTATTAGCAAAGCCCTATGCAGAGTGAAAAGTTTACAGGATCAGCTTGAACTGTAGACTGAATTAATGTCTCTTTATTATTGAGTTTATTTGCATATCATTATTCTTATTTACTAAGTTGGAATAATCAAATACAGATGCAATCAGAGTGAATATTATTAGCAACAAATATTTCTTTGATCTAAGATGAAGACTTACTATTGTTTATTTCTATCATGTCAATGGTCTTCTACTTTAAAGTTAACTGCAATTTAAAGCATTTTTATAATATGTCCTCTATGCCCTTGTAAACTATTTGAAGATTTAAAACAATAAAAACTCTTTAAATCATTGATATTAATTGAAATTTTACCATCCTCATTCAAGCTACTCAGTTTCTTAAAGTATTTGGTTGTTCTGATAAGTAGCAAGAAAGAAACAAAATTATTTTTCAAAGAAGATACATTCTCTAACAGTTCTGTAATAGGAAGAAAAAGTGAGTTGGAAATGTTCCATTAGGAAGAAACAAAGTCTGCAGTTCTTCTGTATGACATAACAATCCATAGCAGAGAAAGAATTCAAGATTTCATTCATTAAACAAATTGAGGGTTTGGGTTCTCTCTGAATCAATTATGCATGTATAGACAACCATAAGGCTTCCACAAATAAAGAATCTCAAATAGGAGTATTAAACCTGAAAAAAAGTTTGCCTGGGTATTTTTGGCATTTAAAACACCCTTGGGCTTCCATGATAGCTCAGTTGGTAAATAATCCAACTGCAGTGCAGGAGACCTGGTTCAATTCCTGTGTCAGAAAGATCCACTGGAGAAGGGATAGGCTACCCGCTCCAATATTCTTGGGCTTCCCTTGCGGCTCAGCTGGTAAAGAATCCACCTGCAATGTGGGAGACCTGGGTTTGATCCTTGGGTTGGGAAGATCCCCTGGAGAAGAGAAATGCTACCCACTCCAGTATTCTGGCCTAGAGAATTCCATGGGCATTATAGTCCATGGGGTCACAAAGAGTTGGACATGACTGGGCGACTTTCACTTTCAAGTCTTCATGGACAGTATCTCAGGTCTTCTCTCAAGGAACTCATCTCATTCATGATCCACACAAATGCATTTTAACAGCAGAGGTAGCCACAGAAAGGGATTCCCAGGTGGCATAGTGGTAGAGAATCCACTTGCCGATGCAGGAGACACAAGAGATGTAGCTTTGACACATGGGTTATGAAGCTCCCCTGGAGTAGCAAATGTCAACCCACTCCAGTACGAACACAGAAGCCTGGCAGCTGCAGTCCATGGTGCCGCAAAGATTTGGACACAACTGAGGATACACACATATGAGGCCACAGAAATCCTCTATTTCTACTTGGCAAGCAACCAGAAAAAGGAATAGATACAGTGGGAGACCTGGGTTTGATCCCTGGGTTGGGAAGATCCCCTGGAGAAGAGAAATGCTACCCACTCCAGTATTCTGGCCTAGAGAATTCCATGGGCAATATAGTCCATGGGGTCACAAAGAGTTGGACACAACTGGGCGACTTTCACTTTCAAGTCTCCATGGACAGTATCTCAGGTCTTCTCTCAAGGAACTCATTTCATTCATGATCCACACAAATGCATTTTAAAAGCAGAGGTAGCCACAGAAAGGGATTCCCAGGTGGCACAGTGGTAGAGAATCCACTTGCCGATGCAGGAGACACAAGAGATGCAGCTTTGATACATGGGTTATGAAGCCCCCCTGGAGTAGCAAATGTCAACCCACTCCAGTACGGACACAGGAGCCTGGCAGCTGCAGTCCACGGGGTCGCAAAGATTTGGACACAACTGAGGATACACACATATGAGGCCACAGAAATCCTCTATTTCTACTTGGCAAGCAACCAGAAAAAGGAATAGATACAAAGTCCATTCCTCCTTTGTGCTTTTAAACTGTTTCTGTAATCAAAAGGACTTGAATACAGTTTGAATTTCCATCTATATTTAACTATAAATGTGGATGTGCAGGGGTGTATGTGCTGGGGAGGAGGAAGAGACAGAACCTAGGTCCAGTAAGTTCTGTTTTTGCTTTTTTTTTTTTTAATTTACTTATTTGCACCAGGTCTTAGTTGTGGCACATGGGATCTCCGATCTTTGTTACAGCATGTGGGATCTTTAATTGTGCATGTGGTATCTAGTTCCTTGACCAGAGATGGAACCTGGGCCCTCTGCATTGAGAACCTGGAGTCTTAGCCACTCCAGGGAACCAGAGAAGTCCAAGTTCTCTTTTAAATTGTCATTTATCTGCACAGAGACTGCTGTTGATGCTAGGCTCAGTCACCTTGATGAGCTAGAATTCCCATCATCAAGATGCTGATAATTCACAGATATAACTTTCTCCTCTGGGGAATTGCCCTGGGCCAAATGGGAACAATCTCACCCAGGAGGCTACTCTCCCACCCACCTTTGAAAGCAACCCCAACCAATGATTGGCTGACACGGGGTACAGAAGACCAGCCCACTTGCCGCAAGTTGAGACCAACTCTGTGATGCCATTTGAGCTCTGGTGTTTCACTGTGAGAGCAAACGGTAACCTGTTTCAACTGAGATCTTCTGCACAGACATCTTCCCTTCCTTCATCCTGCTTCCCTTACCGTCCTTTTCCTGAGAGCTTTGCCCAACAAACCACTCAAACCGTTCTTACAATCCCTGTCTCAGAACTGCTCCTATAGAACTTGACCTAAGATAATCTATGAGCAATCTTACCCATAATTGTCAAAAATATTTTAAATCCTTTGGTAAATGGAGAAGTACTTCTAAGCTAATTGCTTTGATGATCTCTCATACTGAATTGTGGTGTAAGATTGTGGCTGTCCTCAAAGAGAAAGTGCAAATAGCAAACATTTACAAAAATGACTTTTAAATAAAAGCACACATTAAGCAGTGTACATCGCTATAAAAAAAATATGGCAGCAGAAGAATTTGTGGCACTCAGTGTATTTTTATACATTACATGAATGTATTAATTAGGTGCCATTTTAGTGACATTAAAACCACATAAACATATGAAATGATAACATTAAAACTAGATATTTCAAACCAAGTATGCTATGAACAATGATCACATCCATTTGCTATTGATTTTAGAAACCTCACATCTCAACAGCTTTTTTCAATTACCACAATGACACAAATTGCAAGTCATTATTTTGGTGTATATAAGATAAAAATGAAAAACACACTTATAAGAAATTATATATAAATACTCACAATAATATTATTTTAGAGTATTTATAGCAGTTTCCATCCAAAAGGAGATCAGTCCTAGGTGCTCATTGGAAGGACTGATGTCGAAGCTAAAACTCTAATACTTTGGCCACCTGACGCGAAGAGCTGACTCATTGGAAAAGACCCTGATGCTGGGAAAGATGGAGGGCAGGAGGAGAAGAGGACGACAGAGGATGAGTGGTTGGATGGCATCATCGACTCGATGGATATGGGTTTGGGTGGACTCCGGGAGTTGGTGATGGACAGGGAGGCCTGGCGTGCTGCGGTTCACAGGGTCACAAAGAATCGGACATGACTGAGCAACTGAACTGAACTGAACTGATAGCAGTTTCCAGAGCTGCCAGCTTAAATTCTGAAGCAAATATTCACATCAGCAACACTAATGACACAGTCATACATCTCCATTAGGATGCTGTTTGTGAGGGAGAAAACTCCCACCACCATATATACACTAACTCTCCTGGATAATAAAAATTTAATAGGTATGTTCAAACATGGTAACTTCTTCATAACAATAAACTAGCTATTTCATACTTAGCATTTAAAATGAAATCAAATTTAATGTATCTGAATTTCTAAATTCAAATTTGCACATTTATCTTTTCTAGTCAAACCTTCATCTTTTCATTTTAGAAAAAAATCTGTATGAGATAGTTTAATTATATGAAATAACTAAGGTTAGCTTTTACCTTCCAAAGTTCTTGTTTACTTTACCTGCTTTACAGGTGATTATGATGACAGAAGTTGCTAAATTACACATATACTGAAAAATATTCCAATTACTTTTCTATCTTTGAATTTGAAAAGTGACTATAATTTTAAAGAACAATTTAAACAAGACTTTAAAATTATCCTAAAATTATCCTAAAATTTAGTACTTTTGAAAATACCTTTAGACAAAAGGTCTTCAGTAAGTTTCTGCAATTTCTTTCTTTTTTGTTTTTTTGTCCATCCAAATTTTCTAATTTAAAATGTTTCAGGAAATTCTAGCCTGCAGGACTCTGAGATATTTACTACTCAATACCTACCTTCCATCC